TGATATTAAGAAACTAGAAAAGCCAATCTTTAATTATATCTGGCAGAATGAATATGAGCCATTAAATAGAATAATAATGAACAATGAAATAAATAATGGGGGGGTGGAATATCAAAGATTTAAAAGACTTCAAAAATTCATTATTTACAACTGTACAACTTACAATTCATTATATTAAAAAATCTGATACATAAAAATCACCCCCTCTTTTTTATTGCATTATATATATTAGGACCAATAGTAAAAAATATAGCAGGAATACAGATGAATTATCCATTCATTGTAAATAATGACAAAAAATACAAAATGTGGAGAAGGAATATTGAAAAAATAATTAACACTGATAATGAAATTTTTGATGATGAAAGGAGGATCAAGCCAAATAGAATATATAACTTGTTACATATACAACATATAAACAAAAACTTAGTAAACACAAGTGTTAATTGGATAAATATATGGAGAAATATAAATATTCTGCCTTCCGAATGGAAGGAAATTTCATGGAGAATTATACAAGAGGTAGTAATGTGCAAAGAATTCTTGCACAAATATAATAGAAATAGAGATGAACACTGCGTAAGATGCGGTCAGACTGAATCAGTAATCCATATATTTTATGTATGTGAGCCTGCCAAGAAGGTTTGGGCAGGGGTTAACTTAGTCTGTAGAGTGAAGCTGGAATGGATAAATATAAAATATCACACCGAATATAAGATAAGGAATCAAAACACATACCTCTTAAACTGGTTAATAGGCTTAACGAAAAGAAACATTTGGAAAGCTAGATGTTTAGAAGTATTTGAAAGAAGGAAAACAAATCCTACATTAATAGTTACAAAGATTAGAGAAGAGGCAAAACTAAAATTAAAAAAAGATAATGATACACTAACAGATAATGAGTGAAACACCTATTATAGAGGTACAGAAAATGTGGTATGGAAAAAACAAGGGGAAAATTTTATATTAAAGAATGAATGATAAATAAAAATAAAAAATGTTATTTCTATGTACAAAGTACTTATTTAATAAAATAATTAGGAAAATAAAAGTGGATTGTAAAATGTGAATGTGTTAATGAAAACCTTAACACTATATTTAAAGTGGAAATTAAGGTTAAATAAATATTTTAAGAATTATAAGTTATTTATTGTTATGGAAATCTCAACAATCCTTAAAGGATATGAGGTTGAGAGAAAATGTATTTTATTGAAAGATAGAGTTAGTAATAGGTAAGTTAAAATAAACTTACTACAAATAAGTATATATGAGAGAAATCAAATAAGTTAAATAAATAGGTAAATGTAATATTAAAATAATGAAAGAATTATATGTAAAAATAGATGAAACAATTCTAACAAAATGTTGGAGATATAGATGTATTTTCATTTCATTGATGAAATAAATAAGTAAAATATACTTATAAATATACAAATTGTAAAAAGAATTTAATAATATATATATGAATGTAAACCATATCATAAATGTAAGAAGATTAATGTAAAAAAGTTATAATATTACTAGTTGTATTAAAGTTTAAATGTAATGAATCTTAATTACAAGAAAAGTATAGAAAACTGGCTTTTTGTAATTTAATGAATAAAAATGTTATCGAGCATGTTGCTCCATGTAAATAAAAGGTAAAGAAATAATAAACTTTAATTTAACAGTATCTGTTCTTATCTTGATGAGAGCAGACGTGCGGTTGTGAGCTCCGTTTGTTACTGAAATTTGTTGCGGATATTTTGTGCTGGCGATAAAGTGTGATATATTGCTGGATTCGTTAAAAAGTGACGAATACATTGGTGGAAGTCTTTTTTGTGGGGGGATCGTAACTTCTTAAGTTACGATCACTCAAAGTCACCGTTCCTTCAACACCGGTCACCCGGAAATTGGTGGCCGATCTTCCGGAACTGATAGTGCAATCTTATTACCCATATGGTAGTGAGTACTTTTCAAAATTTTTCAGGTCGTAGGACCAGGATCTTTCAAGATTTGGTGCCATCTTTGCTAAGAGTAGGCGGAATTCGGAGGGCCCAATCGGGNAACAAGTTGCTCCATGTAAATAAAAGTTAAAGAAATAATAAACTTTAATTTAACAGTATCTGTTCTTATCTCGATGAGAGCAAATGTGCGGTTGTGAGCTCCATTTGTTACTGAAATTTGTTGCGGATATTTTGTGCTGGTGATAAAGTGTGATATATTGCTGGATTCGTTAAAAAGTGACAAATACATCGGTGGAAGTCTTTTTTGTGGGGGGATCGTAACTTCTTAAGTTACGATCACTCAAAGTCACCGTTCCTTCAACACCGGTCATCCGGAAATTGGTGGCCGATCTTCCGGAACTGATAGTGCAATCTTATTACCCATATGGTAGTGAGTACTTTTCAAAATTTTTCAGGTCGTAGGACCAGGATCTTTCAAGATTTGGTGCCATCTTTGCTAAGAGTAGGCGGAATTCGGAGGGCCCAATCGGGCTGAATTTCGGAGATAATTAAAATCTGATTATACCATCGAAAAGAACTAACTTTCAGTATTATTTTGTATAAATTTCGTAAATCTCAGTAAGATAGTTATTGAGATACAATGGTTTGAATTTTGTAAGAATTCTTCAACTGAGAAGCAAATGCAAGTTTTGGCGGTCGTCGGCATAGCAACGGAGTAGTTACCATGGTAACCAAGACCAACATTTGCCGCGGGCGGGAATTCCNGACAATACTTTGACTGTTATAATGTCTGCTTGGAAGTATCCGCAGCCAACTAAATGTTACCTGAGTGTGTTGTGCTGATCCCTATAGAGGTTCTTTTGCCCATACCGGACACTATATAAGGACACTTATCAGGTGCTCTGCTGTCAATGTTGGAATCAACTCTTGACATGCCCAGCAGGGATCTACCTAACAGACCTAGACCATAGCACTGCAACTCTTCAGTACATAACCACCAGCATTATTTTTGTTTCTATTAACTTTTTTTTTTGTTTGCCCTTGTAATACTATATAAACCATTATAATTGTCGGTTGTCTACTTTATTTTATTTTATTTTTCTTTGCTCAACATAAACAGTACATTTGTATATGTATACTTATGTCAATAATTGTAAAATACGACTAACTGTCCGACTATTGTATTGTTATTACTACATTTATATATTTTTTATAAANTATTTTGTATAAATTTTGTAAATCTCAGTAAGATAGTTATTGAGATACAACGGTTTGAATTTCGTAAGAATTCTTCAACTGAGAAGCAAATGCAAGTTTTGGCGGTCGTCGGCATAGCAACGGAGTAGTTACCGTGGTAACCAAGACCAACATTTGCCGTGGGTGGGAATTCCACGGTCGCCCAGTTGATACTGTACTGCAAAATATATATATATTTTTTTTCACTTATGCCTGTGGTTGTTGGGGATGGGCATCAAATAAGACCCATCCTAAATGTAAATTAACATCAGCTCAGAGGAAAGCTTTGATCCCTCTCACCAAAGCTTATAGAACTACCTCCAACTCTGCCCTACAAGTGTTAGCACGAAAGCCTCCTATAGAACTACATATTCAGTTCTACAGCCAACTCANTGTTTTCAGTGTACAAACTACTTACCTACTAAATAATTAGGAAAATAAAAGTGATTGTAAAATGTGAACGTTAATGAAAACCTTAACACTATATTTAAAGTGGAAATTAAGGTTAAATAAATATTTTAAGAATTATAAGTTATTTATTGTTATGGAAATCTCAACAATCCTTAAAGGATATGAGGTTGAGAGAAAATGTATTTTATTGAAAGATACAGTTAGTAATAGGTAAGTTAAAATAAACTTACTACAAATAAGTATATATGAGAGAAATCAAATAAGTTAAATAAATAGGTAAATGTAATATTAAAATAATAAAAGAAATATATGTAAAAATAGATGAAACAATTCTAACAAAATGTCGGAGATATAGATGTATTTTCATTTCATTGATGAAATAAATAAGTAAAATATACTTATAAATATACAAATTGTAAAAAGAATTTAATAATATATGTATGAATGTAAACCATATCATAAATGTAAGAAGAATAATGTAAAAAAGTTATAATATTACTAGTTGTATGAAAGTTTAAATGTAATGAATCTTAATTACAAGAAAAGTATAGAAAACTGGTTTTTTGTAATTTAATGAATGAAAATGTTATCGAACAAGTTGCTCCATGTAAATAAAAGTTAAAGAAATAATAAACTTTAATTTAACAGTATCTGTTCTTATCTCGATGAGAGCAAATGTGCGGTTGTGAGCTCCATTTGTTACTGAAATTTGTTGCGGATATTTTGTGCTGGTGATAAAGTGTGATATATTGCTGGATTCGTTAAAAAGTGACAAATACATCGGTGGAAGTCTTTTTTGTGGGGGGATCGTAACTTCTTAAGTTACGATCGCTCAAAGTCACCGTTCCTTCAACACCGGTCATCCGGAAATTGGTGGCCGATCTTCCGGAACTGATAGTGCAATCTTATTACCCATATGGTGGTGAGTACTTTTCAAAATTTTTGAAGTTGTAGGACCAGGATCTTTGAAGATTTGGTGCCATCTCTGCTAAGAGTAGGCAGAATTCGGAGGGCCCAATCGGGCTGAATTTCGGAGATAATTAAAATCTGATTATACCATCGAAAAGAACTAACTTTCAGTATTATTTTGTATAAATTTCGTAAATCTCAGTAAGATAGTTATTGAGATACAATGGTTTGAATTTTGTAAGAATTCTTCAACTGAGAAGCAAATGCAAGTTTTGGCGGTCGTCGGCATAGCAACGGAGTAGTTACCATGGTAACCAAGACCAACATTTGCCGCGGGCGGGAATTCCAAGGTCGCCCAGTTGATACAGTCGACCCCCTTATCACACTGTTGATTATTCCATTTTATATGAATTCCATGTTCTACGAGTCACTTAGATTTTACAAATACGTCAGCTGTTCACAGTCCGGCACACGTATTTGTAAAATCTAAGTGACTCGTAGAACATGGATTTCATATACAACGGAATAATCAACAGTGTTATAGGGGAGTTGACTGTACTGCAAAATGGAGGAACCCTGCACATCAAAAACCAGAAAATAGTGACTTCAGATCCACAGAAGGAATCATAGAAGATGCAGACAATCGAAGAGGATGAGCAATCTTCAATTGAATGTTTTGAAGAAGAACAAGATTCCGAATTGAAAGAAGACGAAAGAAGAAAAAAGTATGAAATAATCAGGTCAGTTCGTTTCATGTTAAAAGAAAGAGTTTCAGCAGAAAGAATCATAGATGTTATTGAGGAAAAGCTAGGAAAAATAGATAGTGTACAACAAATAATTTTCAGTCTACAAATATAGTAGAAATAGTAGTAGTAGTAGTAGTAGTAGAAATATAGTAGAAATCTATTCTCTGTAGATGACAAAGAAAAATTAATCGGTCATCAAATCCAGATAGGTAATGAAAATTGTATTATTGAAAGTGTAGAAGTAGGTTTACTAACCCTAACTTTAAGATATGTCCCATGTGAAGCGGACGAATCGTTAATTTAAAATGTATTTAAGAGCTTTGGAAGGGTTGTTAATGTTATTGCTAACACCTTACCCAAGAGAAAAGTGAAAACAGCAATATACCTTGTAAGCATAGTCACTAGGAAAAAAATTCCCAGTTTTGTAAAAATATTAGGAAAGAAAATCCCAGTATTTTATATTGGTAGCAAAAAAGAGTGTCATAGATACTGGAGTGATTCCCACGAGATCAAAAGATTGTAAAGAAAAAGCATGCTTTTGATGTAACAGTTTAAATCACTTGATAAACCAATGTCCCATATGCTACTATTGTAGACAAAAACATGATAAAGGAAAGGACTGTCCTAAACCCAGTTATGCAGAAATTATTAGTAAAGGCCCTAGAAATAAAAACCTTGAGAAAAAAAAAACACAAAAGACTTGAAAGAAGGAACGTAATTCAGTCAAATTTGGATATACAAAACAGCAATGAACAAAATAATAACAATCTAATTGATGAAACTAACAAATAAATAATTGAGTTAGAGTCAGAACCTGAAAGTCATACAGTGACCAATTATGACAAACAGATTATGCTGGAAACAACCAAGAACGATGAAGAAAAACAAAATGAAACAGTCGAATTAGAACAGGAAATAAATAAACAAAGAACTCCAGATAATAAGAAAAAAAGATAAACATGGAAAATACTGGTAAGAAATCAAACACTGAACACTCCTCATCAAAAGGAAGTGTCTGTATTAAACTGAAGCAACTAGAAAATGAAGGTAAACTTACAGCACAAACATTTAATAGATTATTAGCTGAGAACAAAGATTTGCCAGAAATACGGTTTGGTGTCCCTTTTCCTAAAATTAAAAGGATATCTACTAGAAAGAAATAAATGGAAAACATATTGTTAAATATTAGAACCATCAATATTAATGGCCTTAGAACCCTTTATAAACAGATTTACTTGTTAAACTTAACTCAAACTAATAAAATAGATATTCTCGCTATTCAAGACACAAATACATGGGATTTTGAAGATCTTAGGAATCTTAAAAAAGTATTTATAAGTTACAACATTTATACTTCACTTATACGCACTTTGTGTACTGTAAGCCCCACTGAAGAGACCATAAGCGAAATGCATTTCGAAAGCTTGTTAGTAATAATGTAAATAAAAGTTTTTTCTCTGCAAATTATATTCTTTTTTATACCTTTTAAACTCTTTTTTGGAAATTTTATAGTCATTATTGACTTGATATTTTTTAAAAATTGAAGTTATATATTATCCAAAAGTCAGAGGAGAAAGAAAAATATTAAAAATTTTTTCATATTTTCACATTTATGTAAGAAAGAAACAATAGAGAAAATTTCTGACTCCATNATGAATTAGAAAATAAGAAACAAGCAATTATATCTGAAGGAAGCTTTGAAAAATTGGAGAAAGACCTGTTTATTGAAATACAAGGAACATTAACAAAGAAATTGAAGAAACTTGTGAAAGAAGGTTATATCCGGGCAAATCAAAGTAAAGAAATACTTCCAAAAGAAAATGTAAGAATTTCTAAATTAACTGTCAGAATTAAAACACAAACAAAATAAATGTAGACCAATCATAGACTTTAGATTCACATTGTTATATAACCTGGAAATGTTTATTAAAAAGTTATTACAGGATATACAAAACTCGAAATATACAGTTAAAAATGATGATGACTTAATATCAAGATTACAAAAAGGCGTAATCTTACCTAATTATAAACTAATGAGTTTGGATATAACATCTATGTACCCTTCTATTACTAAAGATATGATTTTGAGCAGTCTACGTAAGTATGGTGTCCCTGATTATTTAAAGGATTTAATTCTCTACACATTAGATAATAATTATTTTACAGTGAAAGAAAATTTTTATCAACAAACAAAAGGTATTTGTATGGGTTCCGTAATAGGACCAAAACTAGCCGAAATTTATATGCTGGATGTGGACATGATTTTATCAACGTTAAATGGAGTTAAGTTTTTTGAAAGGTACGTCGATGATATTTTGATAGCGTATGATAGTGCAGTAACAACAAATTTGCAAATTTTGGAACAAGCTAATAAAATTAATTTGAATATTAAATTTACTCAAGAGCATGAATTAAATAATCAATTAAGTTATTTAGATATAACAATTAAAAGATTTGAAGATCATTTGGAATACTGTAAATTTGAAAAACCGTGTAATACGAGAAAAGTAATTAATTATAGATCATACTGTCCTTTAAATCAAAAATATAATGTATACCTGATGGAAATAACAAAGATTTTTTCTAGAACAACAAATATAGATAAAAGAAAAGAAGAAATTGAAGATACACATAAGAAATACATCTTAAATGGATATCCAAAAAGATTACTAAATGATTGGTTCCACAGATTTTTAAGAAACAGGTTTAAAGTTAAACGTTGTCAAGAAATAATAAAGTATGTATCATTTCCGTATATAAAAGGTATTTATGAAAAATATAATAACTTCTTTAATCATAAATTAATTAGATTGGCTCCATCCTTAAATAACAGGTTATCAAATATGATGATCATCAGAAATAATGCTAAAGATATATTAGAAGAAGAAGGTGTTGTTTATCGGATAGAATGCACGTGTAACAATCCTAGTTTTTACGTCGGTGAAACAAAACGAAGATTAAGGATCAGACTGTCGGAACATTTGGCTGCCGTAAGGTTGAAAATGAGTAATTCTCCTGTCTTCCAACATTGTAATAGTAATAATTGTCAGATTAATATTAATAAATTAAAAATAATTTTTAAGGAAAAAAATATTGTAAAGCGAAAGGTAAAAGAACACTTCGCTATAATTATGCAAAACAATAATGTTAATTTAAATACCGGAATGTTAACAGCGGCATGCTGGGAGTTTTTTGTTAACTGTATAAGTGGCTCTTCAATGAGTTGACTGTTTGAACGTAGATTTTGTGCTGTAAGCCCCACTGAAGAGGCCATAGGCGAAATGCATTTGGGAAGCTTGTTAGTAATGATGTAAATAAAAATTTTTTTCTCTCTGCAGATTATTTTCTTTTTTATACCTTTTTAAACTCTGTTTTTTAAAGATTTTATAGTCATTATTGGCTTGTTTTTTTGAAAAATTGAAGTTTTATATTATCCAAAAGTCAGAAAGGAAAGAAAAATATAATTTTTTCGTAATTTTACATTTTATGTAAGAAAACAAAAGAAGAAATTTTCTGACTCCATTGAATTTTTATAACTTTTTTG